ATGAAACAATATGATGCGGACCACATGCGCGAGCTCACGCGCGCGTGGCAAAACGAGTCAACAAGATATTGCGCCCTCAGCGTTTCAGGATCGAGCTCTTGCGAATCACATGAAAGCGTCAACTGCTTCGCGGGAGATGCAAATGGTCAGGTGTTTGGCGCGCGCGCCAATGCTCATCAGCGTTGTTATACAGATGCGCGCATAAGCGGACCACTTCCTACGGACTTGTCAAAGGAGATCCAACAAACACACAAACTCATCATATCCAAAACAAAATGCCAAGGTGCACGGTACGGATTTACTGTTTAATGCCAGAACGTTTGAAAACAATGGAATTGAAAATAACACAACTTTTTTTATGTAGTTACGCCCGCCTGCCCCAGCAAGCCGGGCATAGTTGTAGCGTACTGTTTTACCAGGTGCAGCGTCAGGTATAATAGTGTACAGGCGCTTTACAACATCATCGTTTTACCCATATGAAACATGGCTACCTTACTTGGAGCCGATGCGCGTGACGAGCACCAGTGTAGATGATCGCAGCAGCGAGGGTTGACTCGTCACCATCGCCGTCACCGCAGCTGCCGTCACCTTCGCATCCACGGCAATGCTGTCCGTGGCCATTTTGGCCCAACCCTGACTTCCAGATTCTCATGCCGAGTGTCAACCGAAGACAGAAAGCAGAGCGCCGTGCCCAGGTTCCGCGTCCTGGCAGGCGAGGTGGGCGCGCCCGCGAGCCGGCGCGTAGGTCGGCCTTGCGAGCGCGGGCTCAAGCGTTTTCCGCGTGCAGGTGAGTGCTGCCTGCTCCGCGCAGGACCTGCGGCGTCGCGCCCGGGACGCGCGGTCCAGACACGCTACGCTCCCGCCAGTGCCCCCGGGTTCAGGGCGCGTGACACGGCGCATGGCACCGCAGGCGCGTCAAATCCGCCGATCCGGCGTGTGAGTGTCTGAGAGCGTGGACTTGAGCTCGCTCAAGCTTCGCTCTGCAGGGGGGGGGGCACGTTATTTCCGACGTCATTTCCGACGTTTTTCGGTACACGGGGATATCTCCGACGTCATTTCTCACGTTTTTCGGTACCCGGGGACGGGGGTATAGAAAACGCCACTTCCGGAGCCCCCCCGGATCGGCGGCACTGGCTGGAGGCCCGCCCAATGACAGGGTGCGGGCGCCGCCCCGCCACGGCGGCTTCATCGCGCGCGCCGCAGGCGCTGTCCCCTCCCTCAGCGCAGGCACGGCGCACGATACGGCGCCTCGAGAGTAACATGGTGCGGGCCTCGCCTCGCCGCCGCTCTGCCATCGTAGGCACCGCGGGGGCAGTCGACTTATCCGCGCGGGCGCTGTGTGTCGTGTCGTCAGGCGCAGGCGCAGGCGCCGCGACCATGTCGATAAAATAGGGCGCACGTATGTCCTCGCGATCGCGTTGTCAGCGCAGGCGCCGCGGGCGTTTTTTGTTTTTTCGCCGCAGGCACCGCCCATGGTAAAGCGCGGGCACCTCCGACACGCCAACAAATCAAGTGCAAGCATCGCCCTGTCATCGCAGGCACCGGCGCAGGCACGCCGGACCTTGTCTTGATGATCGGCGCAGGCACGGCACTCCGTTCAGAGCTCAGGGTTGGGGGCGCGCGTGGAGGAGGAGGAGGAGGAGGAGGAGGAGGAGGAGGAGGAGGAGGAGGAGGAGGAGGAGGAGGAGGAGGTGGGGTCGGGGGGGGGCGGTTGAACCGCTGGGCGAGACCTCGGCAGCTCGAACGAGCAGCGCAGAGACCCCCGGCGGCGGAGGTTCGCGCGCGCACCACCTGGCCAGCGGGCGCATCTGCGACAGGCATAAAACCATGGCGGCCCCTATTTATGAAGGGGCCCCAGGACACACAAATAAATACACACAAATAAAAACATTCCCCATATTTTTCCATATTTTCTGGGCTTCTGTCTTCCCCCCCACTTCCCATATTTTCCCATATTTTCTGGGAATCGCCGATTAATTGTGTCTGTGTGTTTTTTCTCCTCCTGATAAAACCATGGCGGCCCCTATTTAATAGGTCAACGGGGAACTCGGAGACCTACTGACCCGGGTCAATCCAGACCAGGGTCAGCCAGGCATTGCAAGACCCTGCAGAATCCTGCACCCGAGCCCGGGTCGATGCGCCCCTGGCCATGCAGGATCCTGCAAGATCCGGCACCCTGGCTGACCCCGCTTGCATCGACCCCCGTCTCTGGAGCCCCGAGGAGCACGCCCGTACTATGCTCCGGGAGGCCATGCGGGAGACCGTACAATCTTTTATCTGCGGGGCGAGAGCGAACCTCTTCCGCTAAAAGCTAGGCGGGCTACGCACAGCTTTAGTTATAGGGAGACAGGGCACAGGAAGGCGGGGCCTCAGGCGGCCGGAGAGGGCAGGGCCCTGGGTTGCAGGCGGTGCCGAAGTGGATGTGCAGGAGCAGGTGCGCCGCCGGGAGACCGTACAAGAGACCAGCGACCACGAGCGACAACCTGAGACCACGAGCCACGAGCCACGACCACGACCAGAGACCACGAGCCAAGACCAGCGAGCACGCGCCGCGACCAGAGACCTCCAGCCAGGACCAGAGGCCACGACGAAAGACCACAAATTTTTGGTCGGTTCTGTCCTCCTGCAGGCGGAGGTTGGAAGAGAAACAGAAATAAATGGTCCAACAAGAGTCGAGCATAGTCAAAAGAGCACGAAGAATCGTCCCCAGACTTTTCTCTACTGTTCTCGAGTGCTCCTCACAACTATTTTTACGTCGGGCGTGTCCCCCTACAGGGGGATTTTCGACGAAAAATAAAAATACACGAAAAATACGCCAAAAATGTAAAAAGTAGTCAAAAAATAGCCCCCTGACTATTTTTGGCGCATTTTTCCTGATTTTGAAAGTAATTTCTATCTTTCGTCAAAAATCCCCCTGTATGGGGGACAGGCCCGACTTAAAACCACTTCGTGCTCTTACGATTGGTCTACGATCCTGGAGGCCCCTGCCCGACGGAAGACGAGGTGCCACGCGCCAGGGCCAAAGGCCAGGGGCCCCGGCGCAGGCTGCCGGAGAGAACTGGCAGCGTCAAGGCGAAGCGAATGAAGCGAAACCGTGGCGACACGAAGCGCGGGCCCCAGCTGTCACCTCGGGTCGGGCGAAAGGGGGGGATAGCAAAGGGGGGGTTTGAGAATCAGCTCGCGTAGCTGATTTTCCCGGCGCCTCCCGGCGCTGGAGGCGGCTATGTATCGAGGAATGGGCCCCTCGGTGAGGCCGAAACCAGCTGCATGCAGCAAATTTCGTAACTCCCCCTTTCCCAATCCCCCCCTTTCGCCCGACCCGATCACCACCCACCAAACCACCCCAACCCAACCCGAAGGCTTCAATTGGCCCTCCATTTCCGGTTGGGGGGGGTCGGGGAACGTTGAAAAAACACACGGAACCGCGGTCGTCGGTCGAGCGCGCCGCCCACGGGCGTTGGAGGCCACAGCTCGGACTCTCGCAGGCAAGCCCGCGCGACCTCCGCGCGCGACCTCCGCGCGCGGCCTCCGCGCGCTGCGCGGGCGGCCCGGCGGCGGAGCACCGGCCGCCAGGGGCGCGAGGCATGGGCGAACGCGCGGGCGGGCGACGGCACGGCTTCGGGGGCGTACGCATACACACCGTTCACCTCTAGGTATTCGTAAGCTCTTTGACTTGTTCGGGGGCCAGGATCCTTTCATGTCTCACTGTTCTGTCCTGGGCCTCTCCCTGGCCCCTTGGGGGCCAGGAACAATTCGAAACGAGCACCATCAGCAATGAGCACGACTAGAAATGAACGACGTGTACACATTCACCCATACGCCTTTTTACGCTGGAGTAGTGGGGGGAACACAAAAGGGGGGACGGCAGTAGGTGCAATAGTTGGTTTGCCTGAACTATTGCGCGCGAGCTATTGCACCAACTATTGCTGGGGGGCACGAACTAATGCAAACCGCCTGAACCATTGCGCGCGACACAAGACAAAACGATACCCGCGCGGAACTATTGCATCCACGCCGCGAACTATTGCATCCAGGCATCAACTATTGCATGAACTATTGCGCCTACTCCCGTCCCCCCATTTGTACTCCCCCATTCGCCGTAGAGAGAAAGGCCCTTCCTCTCTACGGCGGAGGCTTTAGATAAGGACACCTCCGATGAGGAACCCATGGCCCCCCAGGCCCTCCAAGATAGCCTGGAAGAGACCCCCCCCGAAATGAGACCCCCTCCTTTTTATTACGAAATCTGGAGTACACATTCACCCATACGCCTTCCTCTCTACGGCGGAGGCTTTAGATAAGGACACCTCCGATGAGGAACCCATGGGGGCTCGCGACCGATGGGCGGCCAAACGCGGGCCACCCACCTCGCCTTGAGACAGCAAAGGATTCGCCAGGGTCTAGGCCCCAGGAAGACGTTCCTTATCCAATGGCGCCGCCGTGTTATTCGATTCCTCTTGAACTTCATCTCAGATGCTCCTTCTGGGGACCTTCCTGGAGCCACTCGTTCCACTCGTGCGTCGAAGCTGCGTCGAACCTGAGTCGAACCTGAGTCGAACCTGAGTCGAAGCTGCGTCGAAGCTGCGTCGAACCTGAGTCGAATCTGAGTCGAACTTGAGTCGAACTTGAGTCGAACTTGAGTCGAACCTGAGTCGAACAGATCCTTTAGGTGGGCCCCAGGAAGGTCCCCAGAACGAGCATCGAATTCATCTGCCCCGCGCTCCTCATCTCCTATACGGCAGGTTCGTGTCGTGCCGACCCCAGCGTTGGTTTTTGACACCGCAGGGATCGTTCAACCTTGAACGATCGGCCGCTGCCGCAACGTCCGATCGTTCAACATCGATCGATTCTGGGTCGCCGGCGGCGTTCAACCTTGAACGTCCGCGCTGGGGTCGCCGCTGGTCGACACGACGCAAACCTACCGTACCTGCTCTTGTCATCTCTCGATCTCCCCGTGCCGGTGGAGGGGGGAGCCCGGTGGCCCCGCAAGCGGGGCGCGGGGCCTAGGGAAACGCGGAGCTCCTCGAAGTCCTCCGGGGGCGGAGACGGAGGAGCGGGCGGCAGGGTAACGGCAACGGCGGCCGCGGCGTGCAGCCGCCAAGGTGCGCCCGCGCTACCAGTGCATCAATCGCCTGTGTGCACACTAGCATGTAATTGAGGGGGGTCCAGGCCACACCCCTAGTACGATCTTTAGCGTTACCACGGGGAGGGGGGGGGGGTTGGCCCCGGTAGCGAGCCTCACCCTGGAGAGGAGAAAAAAAAAAGAAGAGGCTCACCGGAAAGTGGCGGGCAGGCTCGAGGTTCTGGGTTCGGGGAGGTTTTTGAGCCTTTTCGGCCTCCAAGTGGGCCGCCTCGGGGCTCCCGGACCCGGACTGCAAAACTGCACCACATGGGCTCCGGGAAGGTTCGGGGGGGGGTCTGGAGACAGATTTTGATCGGATTGAGATTCACCAGCCCTCTTTGATTAGCAACAAAAGGACCCCTAACCCGTAACCCTTTGGGATGGGACCCAAGTTAGGAGGGCCAGAAATATTAGGGATTATACTCTCTTCTGCAATGTATCAGACCAAACCGCCCAGAAATATCATTCCCAATGCGAAGACGGGGACCTCAGTGAGGCCAAGTCTTCATCGTGTCATTAGCGTTCGGGCTTCTTTTTGTGCTCGATGATAATTGACTTTCTGGAGTCCGAAACAGTTCAGACACCCTGGCCGCCTCCAACATCAAGGACTCAAGGGTGGCATTCAACACGTCACAAGGTCCCACCCGCATGCATCCCGAAGCGGTGATCGAGTTTGGGTTCCGTGCGCTCATCGACCAAGCGGGCCTCGTGGGCTCGCGCGCGATGAGGGAGAAGCGTGAAGCGTGATGTCTTAGCTCAAAAGGTCCGCAAGAGGCAGGACAGCGTGCTGCATGGAGACGGAGGAAAGGAAGACAGAAATAATGGAAGGAGGCAGAAAGGAAACAAGAGGACGAGGACGAGTCACGGAATTGAGGATGCTGCGGCCATGCTGGCTGTGGCGACCAGAACTCAATCCTCTTGACTATTAATGATGACCAAAATGTTGAAGCAAATGCAGCCGTGGCCACGAGGGCGTACTGGGTGGCCTCAGAAGTACAAGAACAATTGACATTCTCCAGGGACGTAGCCGAAAAATACGCAACAAGTGGCAACATCAAGGGGGCAACAACAATACATTCAAATAGGTCAAGGCATGAACGACCCCCTGTGAACACAAAGCCGTGACATTGCTCGCATCATGGGACGTTTGTTTCATTATCTCTCTCTACGTGTATACACACATGTATGTGGACATGTACATACATACGTGCATACATGCATGCATGCATAGATGTATGTATGCATGTATGTATGCATGCATACATCAATACATATACAAACATACATATGCATGTCCCGCATCGGACACATCCTGCAGAACTTGGCAAGCATGGGGTGTGAATAATGCGGAGGCTATTGGGCTGCAAAGCAGCATGTACCACGACCGCGCCCGACCTATCAAATTATGTACTTTTGTTTCTCAACCCCCATGATTCTGGATTGGCGAATGGCTTCCGGTGCAACCCAACGTGCGCGTGCGCCTTCATACCGCCACCATGGGTAAGCCATGGTACCTGTCCACTTCACGGAACGCACAATCAAAAGCTCACACGAACCACTGCCACTTACCTGGCAATAACAATTAGCGTAATAACGCAAGACCCTGTTAGCGCAATAATGAAACTGTCCATGTGACAAAAGCCGACAACGATGGCCCCTTGCATTGAGTAAAAACCGAGGAACACAAAATTCGCTGGAAATCGGAACAATATTTTATAGCGTATTATCACATTGCAGACGAAAGATGAGAACATCAGTAGGCCCATCACGACAGCAGAAGGTAACATGTCAGGCTCAAACAATCGAGCTCCGAATCCAAGAATTACAAGCTGGAAAGCCAGGGTCAGGACCACTTTTCTCAAGAAACCACGGCGAACATTGGCAGATGATGTGCCATATAGAGCAGTTGGTCCTGCTGCCACTGCTTCCACCTGCAGTAATGGTTCTTCCAATCGTTGCATCACGTTGATGGAAGTCCGACAGCGTCAGCACCGTAAAAACAGTAACATGACTGTTGCAATGAAATTGAGCCAAACTGGCTACGGACCTGATGGGACCAAATCGGTGCAAAACCGGGGGGAACGGAGGTAGATGTGGAAGGAGAAAAGGACTGCGGCGAAGAGGAGGAATGTATCCCATAGAGGAAGAGGGCACGACAACCGCATCGCGAAGACCCGTCTATGTCCGCGTAACACTGCTACCCACTGGACCACCCAAGTGTGCAGCAAAGCGGCGACAGTTGAGCACATGGCAACACCCACAGAGAGCGAGCTCTCGTCCAGATCTGCGTAACACCGCACTCCGCCGGACCTCCTAGGAAGGCAGCAAAGAGTCGCTGCAATTGCGCGCCTGGCACCAACCAGGCAGAGCTCCGAGCAAGCCCAGGGAGAGCTCCGAGCAAGCTCCCACTCGTGTTTGCATAGCACCGCAATCCGCTGGACCCCTTAGGGAGGCGGCAACATCACGTCAGATGCAGGCCTGGCAGCACCCAGCGAGCAGCACCCAGGGAGGGCGAGAGAGCAGGAGGCAATGGGAAAGGAGGAAGAGGAGGAGCGGAGCAGCAAGCAGCAAGAGGACACGGAGGGGAGCAGCATCGCCCCATGTGGAACGAAGGCCCAGCACAGGAGGCCTGGGAAAAGCATCGATCATCGATCATCCCTCCTCCTCCCCCTGCATCTGCACGTGATCGATCTTCCCTCAATTCGGCTACAAGCAAGAGTGAGCCCAGACAAGGGTGACCTTTCGTGCGCGGACCCAGAGGGCGCAGGGTGGCCAAATCCGAGCGCGCAATCAGCTGCTACCGCATCGCACTCGACGATGGAGGGACCCCAGCGAGCCTGCACCAAGGTCACTGCTCTGCTCCGGCGAAGGGTCACTCTTAGGCTCGAGGCCTCCTAGATGGGGTCGGAGCAGATGGGGTCGGGGGATCGCGCCGCTTCGCCGATACATCGGAGATGCATCGGCGACGTCAGCGATGCATCGGCGACGTCGACGTGCAGCAAATCGGGCTACACATCGAGCCGCATCGGCGATGCATCGGCGACGTCAGCGATGCATCGGCGACGTCGACGTGAAGCAACTCGGGCCACACGTCGAGCCGCATCGGCGATGCCTCGGCGATGCATCGGCGATGTGGCACGACCCTGCGAGGCCACCTGCTCGGACCCCTCCTATAGGAGGCCCGGTCTGGGCCTCCTGGGAGGGGTCCGAGCAGGTGGGCCGGAGGGGCGACCGACTGACTGCACGTACCTATAGGCCGCCTGGGAGGCCCAGTCTGGGCCTCCTTGGAGGGATCCGAGCAGGTGGGCCGGAGGGTCGATCGACTACACGTACCTGGGCCGCCTGGGAGGCCTAGTCTAGGCCTCCTGGGAGGGGTCCGAGGATCGATCGACCACACGCATCTAGGCCGCCTAGAGGCATGCAGTCGCTCGATCCTCGATCCTCCCTCCTCCCGCGCCCCCCCCCCCCCGGTCGGGGCCCGCCCGGCTCGCCCGACTCGCACGCGAGGGCCCGCCCCCCCCCTCCCCTCGTCGGCCCGACGGCCCGTTCGCCCGCCTCTCGGTGACCCCCGCCCGCCCGGCCGCCCCGCCCTGGTGGAAGAGAAGCGCAGCTTGGAGGCTTCGAAATTGGCATCAACACCAAAACAGGGGGGCGCGCCCACCGTGGGAAGAGGATCATAGGCTTCGGTGTTGGTGGCAATATGTCGGCCGCCTAGGAAGCCAGAGTATTACCACCATCACCGAGATCGGGATCATCTCTCCTCGGTTGCGGCACGCCGCCAATTTTGGTGTTGGTGTCAACCTCTGGGCCTGCCAGAGGCCGGCATGCAGTGCGGGCGCGGCCGCAGGAAACCCTCACAAGAAGCCCAACCCTGAGAACCCGTGCGCGAGGTGCTCCTGAGGGGAAACCTGGAGCACCCTGAGCGCAGCGGCTCCTTCAGCGGCTGAAGGGAAGTCACCGCGCAGCGCGAGGAGCGAAGAAACCCAGGACACCCTGACGAAAAGCACATGGTTTCTTGATACGCGCCCCCACTGTACACTACGCCACGAAGATGCGTGCACAGAGACACCCTCCCGCGAGTTTTGCACGTGCCCTCAGGGAGGGCGACGGTGCATGACGTCGCTGCCTCCCAGCGGTGATTTAGAATTTAGACACCGCCGCCCTCCCCTGAGGCCCAGGAACAATCCAGTGGAGGGTGCCCGTGTATTTTTTTGGTGAAGGACCAAAGGGAGCCCACAAAGGACGTACGCACCCCACCACGTACCCGCCGGTCGGAAGAAGTAGGTACAAACATGAAATAGGAAGGCGGAGAAGGTAGATTGGGCTCCAGTCCTCCCAGAGAACGACAAAACACAACAAAAGCATATCGGTTCTTGAAGTAGGAAGGCGCTTGCAGTAGATTGGGATCTGCGAGTCCAAAAATACCCACTCTCAACGACCCGCATGTACATGAACACGGCCCCCCAATCCGCGAGAGGGTCCGCGTGATACAAACGTTCGCGCGATGCGTACCCTCAACCCCCACGTGGATTCATACGTGTACGTCCGTGTTTCGCGACTGAACATCACATTTCGACGGTCGCGCGGATTTCTTGGATCTGCGCCAGACTCCCCTCCCTGTCGCGCGGAGCGCGTCAGAGGCGGCGCCCGCCGCCAGGGGAGCTCAACGCAAATCCAAGAAATCCGGACTTGGCGACGAGCCCGGGGGGACATGAGAAAGGGCGGGCCTTCTCAGAAGGCTCGGAACTCTCCCGGTCTTCCGAGAAACGTTCTAAGCCTTCCCCGAAGACACGGACAATTTCGGAGAAGGCGTTCTGAGAAGTCCCGACGCCTTCCGAGAAGGCATTCTCCTTCTCACCTCCCCCCTCGCTCGCCGCCGATTCATGCTTATGCACGTGTTTCTTCTTCTCCGACGCCTTAGCACGGGGGAAACGGGTCCTGAGCCCCGGGGCCTATCCCCAGGAAGACTTGTTCGTCCTGAATCGTACTCTTCTTCCCTCCGTTTGACAATTCTGGGGCCCGTGGGGGGCCCCGAAAGCCCGAAAACGGCGACAGACCTCAGGACCCGCTTCCCTCGGGACCCGCTTCCCCCATGGCGAGACGCCCCACTTCTCGTGCGCTGCCGGGGATGTCCCAGGCCAGGGAGGAGGAGAGGGAGGGGGAGGGGGAGGGGGAGAGGGAGGGGGAGGAGGAGGACGAGAAGGGGGGAGGAGGAGAAGGAGGAGGAGGAGGAGGAGGAGCAGCAGGAGGAGCAGGAGGAGGAGGAGGAGGAGGAAGATACCCTCAGGATCGCTGGGCCAGGCCCGGCTGGTATCCGCAGAAGGGGCCCCACGCGTGGCGCAGCGGGCCCCAGGGGGGGGGATACAGCGGAAGGCGGCCAGGGAGGAGGAGGAGGAGGAGGAGGAGGAGGAGGAGGAGGAGGATATCCTCAGGATCGCTGAGGATATCCTCAGGATATCCTTAAATACATGCACACAAATCCCAGGATCCCCCATCGGTCCTAAGACTTCCTGGGCTTTCGTTTTCCCCCCACTTCCGATACTTTCCCACACTCTGCTGGGAGTCGACGATTCATTGTGCCTGTGTGTTTCTTGCCCGCCTGAACGGCATGGTGCGCAAATGGGGGAGACGTAAGACTCGGGTACGGGTGACTCGGGTTGGCCTGGCGCGGCCATCATGAAAACGGCGAGGCCCAGTCTGAAACTTGACGCGGCTCCCGCGGCAAGCATCCCGCAAAACCTGGACCGTCAAACAACCCGAGACGGGCTCGTCAAAAAACGTCCGCAGAACCGAGCGACTCGCCTATCGCAGGGGGGAATCGCGAAAACAAAAGGGGCATCGCGAAAACAAGGCGATCCTCCAGCAGGGATCGCGGTTTTTTTGGTGTATCCCACAAGTATTTGAAAAAGTGGTTCTATAAGCAACGAACAAATATGGTTTGACTATTTTAAACATTCCTTTCAAACATCGCCTGTAGGAGGACATGCCCGACATAACCCGAGTTCTGGCGCGCTCGAGTCTTACGCTGTCCCGAGACAAGAATCGGGAGCGGCCAAGAGGGGGGTGCCCAAGAGGGGGGGGTGCAAATCATGACCGGCGGCATGTGCGCGGCCCAGCGGGGGGGCCAGGGACGTAAGGAAATAAGAAGAGGCGCCATGAAATCTGGGGAAATAGCATGGCCCCCACCATGACATCCATCCCCCCCTGGTCATCACCCCCCCTCTTTGACCAGTTTAACACATTCATTTCAACCATCGCCTGTAGGAGGACATGCCCGACATCACCCGAGTTCGATCGATTGAGATCGAATGTGAGATCGATCGAGTGAGATCGATCGAGCGAGACCGATAGTGAGATCGACAGTGAGATCGATAGTGAGACCGATCGAGTGAGACGTTGGTTCCTCCCCCCCCCCGAACCTCCTTATCACCCGAAGGGTGGTCGTATAGGTAGGAGGACACGCCCGACATCACCCGCGTTCTGGCGCGCTCGAGCCCTGCGCTGCCCCGAGGCGAAAACGCTGCGGGCGCCGGAGGCAGCCCCGGACCCCGGGCGGCGGCACCTGGGGTGTTTCTCGGCGCTCCGCTCTCCTCGGCGGCCCTGCGCCGCCGAGAGGGAGGCCCCGCGCACCGGTTGGGAGGCGGATGTCGGGCAGGTCCTCCTACGGGCGGGCCTTGGAATAGGGGGCCACATGCGAACCCTACCCCCTACCCCCCACGATTTCTGAGGGGGTGGGGTTCACTCCGCTCGGGAGCTCCCGAGCGAGTGAAGCCCCGGGTGCCACCGCCGGGGTCCGGGGCTGCCTCCAGCGCTCGCGCCGTTCTTGCCTCGGGACAGCGTAGGACTCGAGCGCGCCAGAACGCGGGTGATGTCGGGCAGGTCCTCCTACGGGCGGGCCTTGCACCCAGGTGCGCCAGCATTGTTTCTTATGTTGTGGGAGAGCGGAACGTGTCCGTTGTTCCTTTCAAGACGGCCAGTCTTGTCGTCGAAGATGCGAAATGCGTGGCGGGAATGGGACGCGGCGCACATCCCGCGCGGACGTCAATGCGGTGTCCTGGGGTATCCTCCACTCGCACTGAAATGCCCGCGCAGCCCCCAATTGTGCCATCACTGTTTCTTATGTTGTGGCAGGGCGGGTGGGAATGGGCATGCCATGCTTGACTCGCTCGAGCTGGCTAGCTTGATGCGAACCCTACCCCTACCCCCCCACGACTTCTGAGGGGGAGGGTGGGGTTCACTCCGCTCGGGAGCTCCCGAGCGAGGTGAACCCCACCCTCCCCCTCAGAAATCGTGGGGGGTAGGGGTAGGGTCCGCATGTGGCCCCCTGTTGGAAGAACGCCAGAACCGAGTCAAACAAGAAGCAACAAATGTCGAGCGAGCACGGGACATCGTCACCTGACTGTTTCTGTTACTATAGGAGGCAGAAAATCCACCCCCATAAGAACCACCCCGACACGCGAAGCCGTTTAGTAGACGCGCCCAAAGAGGGAATCGAACAGGGCAGGGCTGCTTAGGAAACGCCCAAGGCCGTTTAGTAAACGCCAATTGTTCGGTGGGTGGTTTTTCCTCCCTTGAGCACAGTCTGGAGGTGGGTCGGGCATGTCCTCCTACGGGCGGGTTTTGGAAGAGAGCTATAAACTAGTCCAATAAGAAATAAAACTAGTCGAGCGAGCACGGAAAATCATCACCAGACTGTTTAAGTTGTTATGCTTGAATATTCCTCTGACTTACATCTAGAGGTGGGAGTGCACCGGCCCGCCCGCAGTTCGCCAGATATTGGTTCGTCTGGGTGTCGTGAGAAAGCCCAAACGGAGGAACCTGCGGGTGCGGCCGACGGGACTCTCACGAGCAAACCCTCCACAGGGTGCAGCATCGTGCGCACAGTCGCGAGGCGGTACACGTTCGCTGTGCTGGAGGGGTGGTCTACACAGATCTCTCTCGCCCCCGCTCAAGGGCACTCCGCGGGCACACGCTTTTTTCCCTCGAGCGTCCCAACCTCCGCGGCGGGAAGTGGCGATCAAACTACCCCAATCCGGAACCAGAAAGTGAAACAAGAAGGACGCAGCTGGGACTCAGGGGTCCGGCCTACCCCTGCAGGCTGCGGAGAGAGAGAGAGAGAGAGAGAAGAGAGAGAGAGAGAGAGAGAGAGAGATCAACGCGACGCGGCGCAACTACGGCCCTGCTGGGACGCTGCGGGCACACGCCAAGGTGGCGTGCGGGCGCCAGATCCACGCATCGGGGAAGGGACGGGCGCCCCCCGAAGCAGGAAGCGAGCGCGCCGACCCTGCACGGCAGCGGGGCCCGCCGCGGAGCCCCGGGCCAGGCCCCATTCCTCGGGGTCGGCCAAGAGGGGGGCGTCCAAGAGGGGGGGGCGCAAATCATGGCCGGCGGCATGTGCGCAGCCCAGGGGGGGGAGCCAGGGATGTAATGGAACAGGAAGAGGCGCCATGAAATCTGAGGGAAAATCATGGCCCGCGCCATGATATCCACCCCCCCCCCTAGTCATCACCCCCCTCTTTGCCGCTCCCGAATTCCGTGCCTGCGCTACCTCGAGGCCTGGGCCGGGACCACTCCTGGAGGCCTGAATAGGGGCGCCAACACCAACACAGGGGGGCTGCCTCCACAGGGGGAAGATGATCCTAGATTTCGGTGCTGGTGGTACTATTTCGGCCACCTTGGAAGCCAGAATATCTACACCATCACCGAGATCGGGATCTTCGTCCCTCGGTGGAGGAACACCGCCGATGTCGGTGCTGGTGTCCACCTCCAGGCCTGCGATCCTGGCAACACCCGGCCCTCCCCCTCCCCCGCACGGGTCCTGCTGCGCCTGCAGCCGCATCTGCTCCAGCTCCTCGCCCAGCGACCGCGTGAGGTCCTGCCGCAGCTCGTCGATCTTCCTCGCCTACGCCGGCGCGTCGGCGGCTGCTTGTGCGGTGGCGCTCGGGGGTCGGCCCTCCGCGGCCTGCAGAGGGGGCTCGTGCTCCCCCCTGCGTGGCGCGAGGGTGAGCCCCCAAATGGCGCCCACACCAGCGATCGGCGGCGGCGCGGACGAGGACCCGCTCTTCTTCTTTTCTGTTCTCTCTCCTTGGGGGGCCCAGGCACCTGGCCAGCAGAAGTCGGCTGGCCGGCGACGTGGGCCCCGCAGGCGCTCGACGACTCGCCCGCGGCCGCCTCGCCCCCAGCGCAGGCCGAGCGCGACGAGAGTTGGGGCGTCGCGGCAACGGGGTCATCCTATTCCTCCTCCTCCTCCTCCTCCTCCTCCTCCTCCTCCTCGTGTTTCTTCTCGTCCTCTGTCTTCTCTCCTTCTCCCCCTCCTCCTCCTCTTCCTCCTCTTCACGCCTACTCACACCTCCTCCTCCTCCTCCTCCTGCTCCTCTTCCTCTTCTTTCTCCTCTTCCTCCTCCTCCTCCTCCTCCTCCTCCTCCTCACGCGTCCTCCTCCTCTCCTCCTTTCCTCCTCCTCTGATCGCTGTGACTGGGAACCACCAGATGCAACGGTAGACCCGTGTGGGGGTATCACATACATATGTTCGTGCGTATATATATATATATATATATATATGTAGTGCTTGGATCGCCGCGCCGTTCGTGTTGAACGCGCCCGCATAAACGACACGGGTTTCGCGGCAAACTCACAGCAAACGTTGCGTCCGAGGCGGTGCTTGCCCTGGTGGCCAAGGCGCCTTCCCCAAGGCCGCGCGGCGTCGAAGCAAACGGCGCGGCGGCACATAGGTATGTACATATACACATATATACATACACACTTACATACATACATACATACATATAGGCGGGACTGAATGTCTCAATGTCGTCGCTGCGCGCGGGGACGATTGCGGGGAGCACGGAGGCGTGGGGCCCAGCGGGGCCCCTGCTCTGGTTAAGCCGACGGGAACCCCAGCCCGCGTTCATATATATATATATATAACAATATGTGTGTATGTATGTACGCATGTATGCGTGTATGCATGGATGTGTATGTGTATATATATATAGATGTACACATATATGCACGCACAAATGTGAGGCATGCGCACGTGCAAGCAAAACAGAGAGACCCCGCAACACCCTCAACACTCATCGTCGTCGTCCTCGTCCTCTTCCTCCGCCTCCTCCTCCTCCACATCCACCTCCTCCTCCTCTTCCTCGTCCTCCACCTCCTCCTTTTCCTCCCCCTCCTCCTCCTATTCCTCCTCCTCCTCCCCCTCCTCCACTTAGTTCTGGCGTTCGTCCACCACACCATCATCGCGCTGCTCGTTCCTCTTTCTCCTGCCCCCTGTTGCTCGTGCTGACTAATTGACTCGACCGTGAAGACAGATATCTAGGGACCACCAAACAATCCACACGGACAAAAACAGACAAGAGCGAGCGAGGCGACCCGACCCCCGATCCCGCCAAAGGAGGCACCCAAAACGGGCGGCAGCGCCTCCGCATGGCCGCGGCCGCCCGCCCGGCCCACGAAGCCCGATGGGTCTTCGCGCGCGCCCACCACGGACATGTACAGCACGAGGTCTTCTCCGGAATCGCGGTTAGCGGGGCCGATGCCGTCGGGGCGGTTGAGGAGGGCGGGTTGCGCCTCGGCGGCGGCTTCAGCCACGAGGCAGCACAGCGAGGGCGGCACCACTCGAACCGCGGTGCCATCTCCCGCAGCAGAATGGCCGCGAGCATACGAGCACCCCCCGCCGCCCGGGCGGCAACGGAGCCTGTCACCGATGCGTGGGCGGTTGATGGCCAGGACCTTCGTCGGAGCCCCCGAAGCAAACCCGAAGGCACACATGTCCAACTCCGCTATCAGCGCCGACGAAAAGGACGCAACGGACTCCACAATATCCAGGTGCCAAAAACGACGGACCAGCCTCCGCCACCGAGCACAAGAATAATGCATGATGAGGACGGTGGGCCTGGTGAGATCAACAGCAGGCGACAAGATAACGCGCGTGCGAAGCAACGCGTTCTGGGTGGCAGAAACTTGCGCGACCTTGGGCTTGGCATGTGGGCCCCTATTGGAACTCCGCGTGTATCGTAGGGCACCACGGCCACTCCGCGTGAGAAGTATACCAGGACTCCCGCGCAGGAAGATACAAAGCGGCAGCGCAACTCTGGCACGAACACGGTCAGCCCACCACTCCACGCGGCCTGGATCCTTGAACTCGCGCCCAGCACTCTCTTGAGACAAGTATTCCTGCAGCGCGCGCGCCCCCCGACAAGCACCCACTAGACAATAATCCAAATATATTACCAGCAGCACGCGGCACCAAGGACAACACGAACCCATGGGTCATACCAGTTATGGCCACGCTCGGAGCCACCCCCTGCGCCTGGCGCTGGCCTCGGCAGCCCGGCAGCGCGACGATGGGCGGGGGGCGGGAACGAGGTCGTGGCCACGCAGTAACCGCGGCGCGCCGCCAGGCATGGCAGCCTCTATAGCGGCGTCGTTATCGTACCCCATCAGCTGCCCTACCCTTCCCCGAAGCAAGGTCGCTGTCCCTCAAAGCAGCGGCCTGCTCCAGAATCAATAGGGGGGCGGGGGGGGGATTGCGCGAAGTAGTTCAGGTGCGAGCAGCCAGGCCGCCGCATACGCTCGATGAGAACAGGGCGCACGTGTAACTCGGTACAACTAGCGTCGCGCCGCGAGCCCTTGGCGCGGCGCTCGGCAAGGTCCATTAGTTGCCGCGGTAGCCTGCAGCGGAAGAGAAAGACTTGCTCCACCAGGTCACCAGCATCTCCTTGGCCTCGCGCGCCCTGGCGCAGGCGCGCAGCCCACGTCGTCCTCCGGATCTTGAACAGCGCGAGCTGCGCATCACACCATGCATACCTAGACCATGCGACATTCTGAATAAACCAGAACGTCTCCGGACTCTGTTCGGTAAAACCAGCCCGCCGATGGAAGCCAGCCAGCGCGGGTGGATCAAACGCAGGGGCGCCAGGCGCACAGCGCATGCGCCGCGCGAGGTCGCCGCGCGTCAATTCCGCCCGAGGCCCTTGGACGCCCGCGGCGCGGTCGAGCACGGCCAAGTCACCCGTCTTCCGCCGGGCCACCGTCGCCGAGCGCAGGGACTTGGATGCGGCGCGGCGCGGGGATGCAAGGGCGCGCCGCAGATTGGAGACCAACGCCCTAGACATGCGATCCCAACGTCCACCCTGATCGAACGGGCGCGCGCTCGCTAGTGCGTCTATGTACCAGATCTTCCGGGGCGCGGGGGCGCGACGCCTGTCGACAGCATCGCGAAGAGGGCGCATGGAAGCAGCGCGCCAGCGGTTTCTGCGGGCCACCTTGAGGTCCTGAATGCCAGGGCTGGTCGCGGCAGGGGCCGCGTGATCGTGCTTCCCTTTGACGTTTATTTCGCCCTGACTAGCAGCGCCGCTGCGAGTCGCGTCGGCCACCGCTAACGCCCCCCTCGCTTCGCGGCGTCGAGCGCCACGAAGACAGCGCAGAGAGGCTGACTTGCCACTTCCAGTTTTAGACTTCAACCCAGAACTCATCCACGCGTCTGCAAATCCACTCGGCCACCTTGGCCGCGCGCGATGGCGTCCGCGCAGAAACGCGCGGTGCACATGCCAGAGTCGCCAACTAAGGTGCCATCATCAAAGGGCCCAGAAACCTGCGCAACCACTTGCGGGGGAACTTCCGCATCGACGTCAGCCTCAAAATCGGCAGACAAACCGCGACTACCCCGCTCGTCCCGAATGCCCGCCAATGGCCTCGCACATACAACACTGAAACACCATCTGCCGACGGGTTGCCAGCCCTTGAGCTACGCCAAGAGGCGAGCCGCGCAGCGCTCCAGGGCACCGCGAAGTGGGCCGCCCGGTGGGCCCCGAAGGCCCTGGACAAGAAGAGGGGATTCACGTCCTCGTCAGCGCAAGAGAGCATCTCAAGGGCCATCTCGAGCAAGGGGGGAGGCGATGGCGGGGCATCGTCTAGCGCCCTGCCCACGTGGCCTTCTGCGCCGGGCAGAGAGAACCCCTCCTGCCTAAGCACCGCGTAGACGGCTGCCACCACATCCACGAAAATGTTCGCGGCCGCAAGCTCACATTTCTTCGTCTACAGGACCTCGCGATCTGCGAAGCCACGCCTGCGCGCACGCCCTCGACGCCACCAATTCGAGACGGCTGCGGCAACGCAAAGCCCGGCGCGATCGCCCCCCCTGTTCAAGGCGCGGCGGAGCTGGACAACGTCAGCGCCGAGCGAGATCGAGCAGATGGCATTCGCCACCTGCGGCCCCTGAGCCGCCTTGCCGAGCCAGCGCGAGAGGGCAGCGCCGTGCGCCGCCGCCTCCTTCGCTCGCAGTGCAGAATTGGCGAGTGGAGCACGTGCGGAAGGGAAGCGTCAGGCGCGGCCGCCAGGGCGGCGTTCTGGGAGCCATCAGGGCCGGGCCCCTCGAAGGCGCCCATCGTCGTCCGGCGCGAGGGGGCGCGCGAAGGAGGGGGGGGCAGCCTCGTGGGGAGCGCCCGCGGAACCGCGATCCAGGATGCGTCTGAAATTGCACCGCCCACACGCAGCTCGGCTGGCCGCGCTTCGGCACCGATCCGCGACGTGCTCGCGAGGCCCAGCCGCCCCGCGCGCGCGCGACTGGACGGGCGCGCCAGCGGAATCTTGCCGCACAGGCGGGGGTCCACCACCTGAGCCTCGAGGTACTTTGCCAGTGCATCTGCGCTGGCGATGCAACCAATGCCACCCGTCGCGGCTGTCGCGGAGGACGGCGGAACCATTAGTCGGGCTGGCAATGCCACGTGGGTAGCTTGCCTGGTCGAACTCGACGCAGCCTTGCGCGCGCCCGTTGACCTCGGTAAGAATATCAGACTCCATCATCAAGCTCATCGCGCGTGGGATATCTAGATTGGAAGAGCTCCCGCGCCATCGTGGGGACACAGGCGCAATCCCACCAAGCAAACAGGTCAC